AAGCATTGCAATAAATTAACATTTTGGTTAGTACGATCATAGAAATGACCAAAAGAGGAGGTGAATTGTAAGAGTAGGACCACAGCGATGGTGATGATGAGGATTCAACTGGTGGTGGTTCAGTGGGATAGCAAAGATCGATAACGGTTGAACTCGTATTCCAGAACATTTGTTCTCGGTGTTGTGAATACGACTTCGAGTAGTCTCGACAGCCGATTGGTGGCTGAAATGTAGCAAATTTGACAAAATCTTCTCGGATTTGCGAGAAGAATATAGAAACTGTTTTAATATGCTGATTTCGAACACATCAGATCGCATTCATCGAACGAAATGCTTCTGATAAGGACTGATGAAAGGATCCGTCCTCTTCTATCAAGCGCATGACGCTTTAAAAATATTGGTATACTATGTTTTCCTGATGATGTCGTGAAGTCGAAAAGCCAAAAGTTTTGTGAAATATNAAGCTTGAAAGATATGAGACTGAAACTAATAAATGGCAAAGCAACGACGAAAACAATGAGTTTAGCGATGAGATGAGTCTTACGGTAATAAGTGAGCAGTTTTCATCACAGAGATGGCACAACTGTATATCGCAATGAAGACGAAGATACCTCACTCCGACCTGTCTTACAGCCAGGAAGCCTGTCGAGCTTGCCCTTGTCATATCACGATCATAAGTCGGTGAACTGATCATGGCTGATTCTGAGGAACACCTAAAATGGACGAAAAAAGTGAAACGCGGAAAACTTGTGAGAAACTTTTGACTGTTATAGATATATTCGTCTTATATCAGTGCATAAATTGAGTTTAGATCACAAATGGTAAACAGACAAACATAAAAATCATTAAAAAATTTCAGGTGGATTTGATTTCGTGAAAAATTGCGAGTTCGGACCAATTTTCCTAAAAATCCGTCATCATATTCATAGGAAAATGACTGCTTTCAAAATCCACCCACCCATTCGATGTCAGCAAATAAACTGGATTATGTTTACTGCCAGCCCAACAATTCTGCACTCGCATTGCATGCTCAGCTGAAATACGAATAAAACTTGGAATTCGAGTAAGATCAAGAAATTATTGTCAAATTATTAAACTACTGATTGTCTTTGTGTAATCATAAAGCACTCCTCAGATAACCAACGCGTTCGATCACTCATCCATATTCATATGTACTCTATCACTAGGATTGTTATCATTATTACTCCAAAAAATGAATTCACAAC